TAGAATAATAATAATAATATGAGGAATAGTGTAAGTATCTACCCGACCATGTAGTTTTTCTAGACCAATTTGTTCGAATAAAGTTGTTAGTATTGTAAACGGATACATCCAAGAAATTAAGTCTGTTGTTATTTTGTAGTTCATGTGTGAAAGTTATATTATTGTTAAAGTTATTGAAAAGATCTAGTACTGGGTTTATATGATTTTTGTTAATGATAAAAAAGTGTCATCTACATATCTTATATAAAAGTTAATTTGAAATTTTAAAGTTGAGAAAACGGAAATTTCTAGTGTTTGTAAAACTAAGTCTATAATCCCATAGCTGCACCTTTAATTTGAGAATAAAAGTTGTCTTGGCAATGGAAATGTGAGTAATTTAAAATAGTGTTTATAATATGAGTGAAAACTGTTTTCGGAAATTCAGTAAAGTTACAAATTGTGTGTCAACGTTTATCGATTGAGTTTAGAATTAATTCATGTGGGACACATGTAAAAAGGTTGACCACATCTAAGCTTAGAAATAAGTGATTTTCATGGATGTTGCGGTTATTAATTAAATTCGGAAATTGGTACGAATTCCTGACATAATAGGGAGAATTGATTGTGACATTTTTTTCGAAACCTTTTTACATGTGTCTACTAATTAATTATTAGTCAATTAATCTGATATACCAAATTCCTGAGGCGGTCAAAATTGAACTTAGATTTAATTTGTGTAAAAATTGAACTGAGGGTTGCATCACAATTACATACCAACAGAATGCCTCACTGTTTCCACATTTCTCGTGGAAAAAACTATTTCAACAGTGTGGCATTCTGTTGGTATGTAATTGTGATGCAACCCTCAGTTCAATTTTTACACAAATTAAATCTAAGTTCAATTTTGACCGCCTCAGGAATTTAGTATATCAGATTAATTGCTCTAATTGCGAACTCTTTTATATTGGAGAAACTAGCCAAAACCTGAGTAAACGCGTTCATCAACATAAAAATAACTCAAAAAATCCCAAGCAATTCAAAACGATGTTAACTCAGCATATTAAAAATTTAAATCATAATATCGATTTTTTTAACCCTAAAATTTTGCATTTTGAAGAAAATACAATTAAAAGAAGATTCGCTGAGGGGTTGTTTTTGAAATTACATAACGACAGGGTCATTAACAAACGCTTCGACAATACGGCCCTGAACGAAACGAACACGTGGTTTTTTAATAGCGTGTCAAAATTTCTTAAAAAATAACAAAATCCCATCGCCTTTCAAATTTTCCAAAAAATATCAACACATGCTAAAAACTGCTTTGAGAAAAATGTGACATTTCTATCCTAAACTCCGAAGAGTAAATACATAGTTTCGACAACTTGTTAAGTTATCATGGTTATTAGTGTGTTTTACCATTTGTGATGTTTGTGTTAAAAAATATATATCTTATCAATGTGCACATACTCATACCTTGGATTAATAATGGTTTCATATGCTATATTAGAATACAAAATTGTAAGTGTTTTATTACTATTATTATTATTATTATTTTTCCATGAAATTTCCTTTCATATAATTTATTTAGTTTCAATTTTTATAGTTAATTTGATTACCACTGAATGATGGCTAAGATGCTAGCCGAAACGTATGGATTTTAAATAAATAAACTTTTAAAAAACTCTCATACTATTTTTATTGATGTTGCGCCCGAATATTAAACTCAAATTAAATATATATATATATATATATATATATATATATGATATTCAGTTTTCAGGGCAATACATCAATTAAAAAATTTGTATGACTTTAAAACATTTTTATTTTTTTCCATACGTTTCGACACATTGTTTTGTGTCATCTTCAGTGGACTATGTAATTGAATTAATGCTAATTATTTCATATTATAAATGTTCACAATGCACAATCCTAATTATTTCATATTATAAATGTTCACAATGCAACAAAAAACCAATCCTTGTCATTTTAAATTGAACAATATATAAATTTTTGAATGAGATTTTTTTTTTGAATGAGAAAAAATTTATATATTGTTCAATTTAAAATGACAAGGATTGGTTTTTTGTTGCATTGTGAACATTTATAATATGAAATAATTAGGATTGTGCATTGTGAACATTTATAATATGAAATAATTAGGATTAATTCAATTACATAGTCCACTGAAGATGACACAAAACAATGTGTCGAAACGTATGAAAAAAAATAAAAATGTTTTAAAGTCATACAAATTTTTTAATTAATGTATTGCCCTGAAAACTGAATATCACATATTTCAACATCAAAATTATAATAAAAAAATTTAATATATATATATATATATATATATATATACAATTAACATAAGCCTCGCACATAAGCCTCGGAATGCGTAAAGTACAGAAGTCGTGGCAGAAATTACCTAATTTTACTTACATTTTTGTTCAAATAAAACTATCATTTTTCTTTTTACATCATACAAAAAATTATAAAAAATGCATGGTGTTGACAAGTTAGTTGTATAAATGTTAGTGCCAATTTCTAGTGTTGTGTACACTTCTCTAGATGTAACCTACCAACGTAATATCCACTGACGATGACATTAAATTGAATGTCGAAACGTTTGGAATTAAAGATTATTTTATAAATCTTTGCCTTTTCTTTGTTTGATGTATCGCCCTCAAGAACTCACTCATATATATATATATATATATATATATATAATATATATATATATATATATATATATATATATATATATCTTATATATAAAAATGGAGCTGTCTTTCAAATGTCCGAATAAAACTCGAAAACGGCTGAATGGATTTGGCCAGTCTTAGTCTTGAAAAATTCGTGCCAATCCAGAGATTGTCCAAAAGGTGAGATAATATTTCAAATCCGCGTAGAAACTTTACATTTTTAATTTGAAAATTTTTGTAGAAGCGTAATTTAAATAAAACAATGGACGGTGGCAATTTCGTGAACTGTCAAACGCTTTTGACAGATGATGTTCAATTACGTTTAATAGGATGTTTTACGCGAATATTATTTATTTATGATAAATTTGTAGCAAGTAGTTTTGTTTGTAGTTTTATTTATATACAAAAACGTTAAGCCGGCCACAGACGTTACTGTATACTTGCGCAACCTGCGACTTGCACATGTGTTCTGTAGCGTCTGTGGCGTGTTTTTTGCGCAACTTGACAGACTGGTGCAAGCGAGTAGGCATGAGCACTTTTTCATTATTTTAATTGCGCAACCATTCAAGTCGGCAAGTTCATTCGTTGGCCGCGTGTGGCAGCACATGTCCCGTTTTTATTTTACTTTGTAGCGAATTCATAATACAAGTTTATGAAGTTATCGACAATTAAAAGTTATTAAATTAGCCCTCTGAACACTTTGAATTCTCTTTTGATGCTGTAAATACATAAATTAATAAAAAAGATATATTTTTAGGTTATGTTTTGACATTTATTATTTGACATTTGTGATATGCTTGCGCAAGTACTTGAACCGTCTGTGGGCGCTGTGAAAATACAGCTGGTTGCGCATTCATTCAGTTGCGCAAGTATACAGTTACGTCTGTGGCCGGCTTTAGTAAACGGGCCGCAAGTGTTACTAGAGACTCAAAATATAAACTTTTTTGATATGTTAATATGAAAATGCACTTTTTGGCATATTTTTCTCAAACACGGTGCTCTGAAAGATCTCATTTGTATAATTATATACTTATTGGTATTTATAAAACATTTTCTAGGTTATATTATTTTTTATTTATGGTATTTAAATTCAGAACCTGAATTTGGTATCGATCGAATGGACATTTTGTCGAATAACATTTTTCCAGTTATAATTTCCCAGAATTTATCGCACAATAGATAGTAATATATGAAGGCCCGGGATTAAAAAGGTCCACCACCGATGTGCCAAAAATCAGTAAAGTTAAGCATTGTTTAACAACAATATTTGAAAGTAGAGGAAAAAAGATGTATAGCCAGCTACAACCTTGATTTGAAAACGATAATCTTTGAAATGGGGGAGATAAACGGTAATCTTTGAAAATCCATAATAAAAGTATTTTCTTCCGTTGATAGTTTTAGCATTAGTTAAAAATGTAATTATTTTGTAAAATACCTTTAAAATTATAATAAGGCTTTAAACCTTTTGCCAACTGCCCGTCACAAGTTACCCCGCATATAGGATAAAAAGGTCTAGATAACAAATTTTTGGAAGACATCAAAAAAGCACATTTCTACAATGATGAAGTAGATATCAGTTTACTGAACGTAGTCAGATAATTGTTCGTTTGATATGTCTTATTTGTTGTGATATAATTGTTATGGTTTTCACAATATAGTTTATATTTGCTCAAAGTCAAATTGGACCTTTGTGCCTCGCCCTGCTCTACATATATACTTTTTATTAATTTTATTTTAATTCATCGAATGTTACTTGAAACTTATCAAAAAGCAGGTCAATGAAGAAATACTTCTGTCGTTATCTATCTCTCCTCGCAGAAATTTGAAAATTTTGTATAAGCTCAGTAGTATTATTTACAATTATACACAAAATCCAGATGCAAATAGAATCTGAAAAACTTGAAACGTAATCAATAAGTCGAAAAACCAAAATGACTAGGATTGGATTATATCATGTTTTCTATGGAAAGTGTCTAAAACTTTCAGTTTGATTGTATTGATAAAATATAGACAAAATAATGGGGTTTATTGTTTTTATAATACCTCATTGTATAGAGCATTCAAACAACACATCCTTATGCACTTGAAGTATTAATATTTTTGATTCTCTAGAAATGGTTTAGAATATACCCTATTTAGCAAAACAACGTTTGCCGGGTCAGCTAGTATATATATATATATATATATATATATATATTCTAATTGAAAAAACACATTTATTTTGTAATTACGCTGTTAATTAAATATTGTTATTTATTATTTTTATTTTTTATATTATTTATATATAGTCATCGATATTAAAAATCATATTTGTATCACCTGTGCGGCATCTTTCAGTAGATATGGATCGTTGGCAGCAACAAAAGTATCTCTCTCTTTAAGTGATGTTAGAGCAACATTTTCTGACTCTCTAATAATAGTTTGTAGAAAGTTTTCAGGATATAGTGTAACACCCAATGCTATAATTCCATCTTCTGTACTGAACTGACCATAACGCTGCCTAAAAAAATAATAGAAAACTATAAATATGAATATTTATAGTTGTCTTATATGGCAAAAATAATAATATATGTTATTTATCGTTGCCTTTCCTTGGACAATTATTATTATTTTTAAAATTAAGAAGATTTCCTCACCAAATGATAATTTTTAACTTCCCGAAGGGAAAATTTGTTTTCATAAAAAAACGATTCGCTAATTTTATGTTTTCTAGACGTTTCAAGCCGGTTTGAATCGAATAAGACCAAATTTGATAAAGTATGTGTATGTAAGTGCGTGTGTGATACCGATTCCAAAAATTGAACCATTCGAAGTCCCTCGATGAGGACTATCGTAAGTCAGTTTTGCGTGACGATCGACCAAGCCATTTCCTTGTAAAAAGCAGAAAAGTGAAAAAAAAATCGTCTACGTTATAGCCCGAATCAACTTGATTGATAAAGATAGTGATTGACGATTTTTATGGATTTTTTTAACAATATATCCCGTGGTCTAAATCATCATACTAAAATATTTCGGCGCCGCCTCTAATTTTAAAAATTCGTCGAAGATTGAACACATACATCTATAATATTCACTAACAATAAAGCAAAATGCACTTGTCATGTTCACGCATCATCACTAATGTAAAATCTATTTGTCATTTTCTTTAATCCTATCTAACCACATACCAAAATTTCATTCAAAAAGTTTTACATCTACTTACTTCATTTCGTCCTGATCTGTACTCATAACAAACATATTAAAAATCGCGAATATACTTGAGTTTTCGCCAACATTACAACCTAAAATTTAAATTGCAACCAAGCATTACACATGATGACAAAGTACACTAGAAATGTTGTTGTGTGAATCAAAACACAATAGCATACTAAAAGTCACGAAAACGTGGGATAACATACACATAAGGGAGTGGTATTACCTGAAGGATGTTTTTTAACGTGACGATCGTTTAAATTATCGCTTCTTTGTCGTGTAAGAATAATAATACGACGTCAGGCATGTAAATAGTTACGCCAAGTCGAGTTCTGTGCAGTAAATCTACGCAGTTCCATAGGAACTAACCCCACTTTTGGATTTGTTGATGACAAATGTTTAAGTTCGGAATTTGTGAATGTTAATATCAATTAAAATAGATTGTATTAAATAATATTTTGTTTGTAATAAACAATTTGTTTCAGCTTTTAATGAATACATGAGTGTGGAATCTTCAAAGAAATTTATAGAATGCTGTACGAAATGAAAAAGTGAAATGGTAAGTAAGTAGCAGTTTTAAAATTTATACATGAGCTGAATTATACAATATTTTTATTGTAAAATTAATTCCAGATGAATGAAATGATTCCATGGTAATTGCTTCTGAGAACTGGAACTTAAAAATTTGATTTCTCTTCAGATGCAAAAGTTCTTATTTTTGAGGTTAGTTTCAGCTTGAAAATATAATTTCTCAATGAACTCAATGAACGAATGGAACGAATAATTGGTATAATCACTTGAAGATAGTGAAATGGCAATAGTTTTTCTAGTGTTGTACTATATTTTATTTTATTTCATTTTAGGCCTTTTTGATGTTTTGAATTTAAAAAGTTTAGATGAAAACCTTTTGTGAAATACAATATGACATAATTGAAAAACTCATGAATGTATTTTCTATAGAAAACAATAATACGAAAATAACTTTTATTTCATTTCAATGAAGAAAACAACTCCAATTTTTTTTTAAATAAAAAAGTAATTAATAAAATATGTAATGCATTTTTTATGTAGGTTGTGGTTTATACTACACATGATATTATATCTCGTGCTATCATTGTAACGGATGACAAAATTAAGATGGAAATTGATAATCGGATAATTGATATTGGATGCTATTTTGTATGGCACAGGTCTTAGAGCCTGTGCTTATTCAAATGCATTAAAATATATTGAATAGAACTACAAGACCAGAAAGCACAGAAGCAGAAGTTTTGAAAGGAAAATTCATAAGAGTGAATAAAAAATGATTAATGGTAATAAAACTGTAATGGAAATAATAAACAGAGGAGGGAAAGGTAATCACTGAGTTGTGGGGTTCTCATTCCATAGACCTCTTTTCGGACAAACTACTATTTATTATCATTATATTGAATATGAAATATTGGGAACAGTAATAAATAATAAAAATATAATATTGATGAAATTCGTGCACGCCATACAAAAATCGCAAATCAACTATTTTGAATACATTTAGATAATTATTTTGTGTGATTTGTCTTATTAATTATATTTCATGTTAAATTTGTTGAATTATTAATTACATGTAAAAAAATAAGTTATTTGTAATAATATTGTAATTTTTGTAAAATTGTGATTTTAAATTTTAATATATTAATAAATAAAATTAATATTTTAAAATGTCTATTTATTTCAATAAAATATAGTCTTAGTAGTACAAAGCGTAGAATATTAAAATTTTTAATATTAAACATTCCTCAAATAAGCAAATGGTTAACAACCCACTACGTCGTATTCTACCACACTCGTCGGGGAGGTTTCATAATATCACACCCGACCTGTGTGTTTGTCAAAATACGCCAAAAAGTAGATCAAAAATGACTACATACAAATACCACCCCTTGTCGTGTTATAGTACGCGATATACGTTTGCAGTGTAGTCAAGGCACAAAAGGTTTTATGCCTTATTCAAAAGATCAAATATTACTTAAATTTGAATTACGAATTGAGTGAAAAGAATTAATCCTTGAATGAGGCTACTAGGATTCAAATATCACTAAGCGCCCATTGAACAAGTGAGCTTTCGAAAAGCACTTTGCGCTTTATTTTTAGATTACAAACATCAGTTCAGTTGATAGAAATTTATTTGCCTTGAAAAATCGAGAATTTTTTAGCTATATTTTTCAATATTATTACGATAAAAGAAAAACGCCGCGCAGGTTTCGCTCGATGTCGTTCTATACAGCAAGATAAGCATAGCAATAATGTAAATATTGTGGCTATGTATTTAACTAGGCATTGACCAATAATTTGTATTTTATATACAGTGCAAAGAAAACATGAATTTAAAAGAAATTTTTAAAAAATATATCATAAAATATAATATAAGAAAAAAAATTTCAAAAAATATATTTTTGGTAAAAACCGGTGAGTTGTTTTAACACGCATATATATCTTACAATATTAATAAATCAGAAAGGTTAAAAAAATCCACAATTTTGTAAAGGTTGGCTAAATTATTAAACTAGCATCGACTTACAATGTATAGTTTGATCAGAATTAATTCAATATCTTGTAAGTGTAAAATGTAGAAAAAACTTTTTCATATCAGAAAACGTAAAAATTCTATATAGTTTATCATATGTATTACTATTATATGTATTTTTAAAATTAATGTATCTACAATATATACATATATAGAGTTTACCCATAAATTACGTATCAAAGTAAAGTTTTATAATAATAAAAGTATGTATACCATATTATAGGTTTTTTGCATGAAAAACAACCAAACAAGCATTACTACATTTTTGTACCAGTTTAAAGCACGCTTACACTTAATTTATATGTTATTTCTCACCATGTATCCATGTTTCAAATTATTATAAATTGTTCTTCGCATTATATGGATTTTACCAACCACTCACATAAAAAACAGTCATTCAATGTAAGCACGCCAACATACTCATTCCAATATAAATACCTCAATTTATATAGAAGTTGATCATATCGTTCCCCAACTGCTAAAACCGTAACCGGTACATCACCTTTGCAACTTTTTCGGCATTCACCATCGCATATGAGACGCCATGACAATCCACGTTCCTCAGTATCAAACTTAAATCCAGGATGTATGTACATTGAGCACTTTTAAGTAAGATAAAAACATTTAATGAAATAACAATAATAATTGTAAAATAGTAATTGTGCACCGTAATTACGGTACGAAACCCAAGAAAAATTACACAAAATGTGTACACATTATTAAAATCTCTATAAAATATCTTTACATAAAATTTATAAAAAATATCATTTTCAATTTTTTTGCGATTACTATAACTTACCCTACGAAAGTTAATAAGGTATAAACAGCATTTTATCTTTATCAGAAAATAATTAAGAAAAGAGATCTACAGAATTGCTTTTAATTATTTGAAATTGCCAAAAAATAAATTATCTTGTCTGTGAATTACGGGAAATGGAATGCAACAATATCCATTGGGTTTAATTATGTACTACAAAATACTTAATTTAGATTTAATTAGTATCCAGATATTTTATTTAATTTCATTATTACCAACTCGAGAAATATCACATTTAATATACTCATAAGTGCGACATTTGTTAATTCATAAACACTCAAACATCAAATCCCAATCATGGATTCGTAACTATTTCCGCCAGCTAACCGCGATTCGATCAGGACAGTTTTTGCTTTACGTTGTCTTAAATAATCCACTTTTTATCACCAATCACCAACCTCTTCTAAATTGGGCCGACTTTCTTTCAACTCAGCAGCGATTTGCAGATAGAGCTTCTTTTAGTATCCAGCATTATTTCAATGGTGCTAAGTGTTCCTTCTTTGTAAAAATTTCAGCTCTTGGAAAATCGAAATCGACTTACTTCACGATTGGACTCCGTGATTTTGTCAACATTTTGACAATTGGGCATCCAGTGCTCGTGCTTCATTGACATCAAAATTATCCGAATGAATTGACGCAACCAAATTGCGCATTATTAGCTGTTATAGTATCAAAACCATAAACACTGTTCGCATTTTCAGCTTGTGGCCATGCTTGTGGCCGTTTTCGCCTTCATCGGACAAAAAGTGTAAAATATAGCGTTTTTTTTTTCATTGTTAGTGTACATTTTTGAAGCGTGCTCAAACAAAACTGGGCAAATCAATTACAAAACAGTCTTAATAATTTTTTCAGTACAAAACATCATCTTTCTAATGTCGTCTAGTAGAAGCTGTTCCGACTAATATAACCCGAGATACAGTTTGTTGAAGACAACCATTGCAAAAATAATATTTTTTTTCCTCAACCTAAAATTTTGTGCCGTTCATACAACTTGAAGTTTTTGCTTTTTTATCACCAACCCCTATTTTATAGCCATTTTCGCAATGCAATCATTTTTTATCACGCGTTAAGTCATTAAATATTTTTGACATAATTTTAGTTCAGATTTTTGAGCTTAAAAAGCTTAAACTTTACTTTAAAATACATTTTTTTTTTTAATTTTGGGGTCGATTTTCTTTATTTTATTTTCTTAATGCGGAATTGATAAAACACATATAACTCTTTTCACTTCACCCCCTAACTATTTTCTCTAATTGTGTTCCCAGTGTAACTATCCTTGAAACTCTCTCTTACAACATCTTTCGTAAATCCTCAGTTTTTTTATAGGGCGCGCTCTGCTTTAGTATAAATTTAAACAAAATTATTATTTTATTATTGTTTATTTCTATTTTTTTATAAATTTTTGTTTTTATTTCTTCTGGTGTAATTTTTACTCGTCATGTTTTCCTTAAAATTCAAAAATAAAAAAACAAAAAATTAAAGTTTAGAATAAATTTATAAAATTTATCATAAGTAATCAAGTGATGATTTTACTTACAATTAGAAAATGTATTCGATTCAAGTTGGCTGTGAAGGTTTTCTATTAGTACTTTATTTTTCAATTCCTAACCAGCGATATTTATATCATATGTATATATATATATATATATATATATATATATATATATATATACTAGCTGACCCGACAGACGTTGTTCTGTACCCACGTCTACAATTTTTCAATATTTTATACTAATATTTACTTATATAGAAAATATATTAATATTTATTTTTTTCTCCAATAAATCAATATACAGAGTTTATATTTGAAGTAAATTAATTTGTCAAAGCCTGTTCACATGTGCTCTATTCAACTTACGATCAACAAAATTATTGATCTGTGAATTTTTTTACTGTGCTCCAATTTACTTGATATTTTGGAAATTGGCTAATCTTTATCTTAAGTTCAGAAGTGAAAACAATTTGCACTCCGTCACCATCCACCGCATTAATTGGATTATTACCCTTTTAATTCTGATTTTATCAGAACTTGTAATAGATTATTTTAAAGGTAATTAAATAAGCTACAACTTTCTCTATCATAAATTTTACCGTAACTTCTCTTATCGTGAAACGGCGAAGGGTTAAAAGGGCTCGAAAGACCTGGTTGGACAGCCGCGCACTCCGTAATTAATATCTCTATCAATATTTGTGTAATGGAAAAATAATAAACAACAATAATTAGTCAGAAAAATACCTCGAATTTTCATATATATATATATATATATATATATATATATATATATATACTTTTATACGTATTCTTTCAGAGATATTATAATGAGAAATTGGATGTTTTTTTAATGTTTTTTTTTTTCATGAAATCATGAGCTTTTTGAGAAACGTTTGTACTAAAGTTGTGGTATTTTCTAGAATCCATCAAGATCTCTTAAACAAAGTTAATTCTAGATGAAATACGATTATTTTTAAATTTGGTGGAAATGGCACTGAAAAACTATTTGATTTAAATGAAAAAACATTATATGCGTCTTTTATTTGCATGTTAGTTTACTCATTTTACACGCAGAAGTACTCATTTTAAAGCTTATTTTGAGCACTACAAAAACCCATTTTCATATTTAGCCTAATAATGTTCCCAAAAACTGTAAAATAGCGATTTATTAAGATTTTAATTGATATAATTTTGTTCATTACATGATTTTCGTTAAAATGTATATTTTTGAAGATATTAGCAAAAAATGATGCAAATGAACGCAAAAAAGAAACAAATTTTCAGTAGCCAGTAACTTGAAAAGTATTTACTTTTTTGAAAAACATTATTAAACATTTTTCTCTTATAATTAGTTCTTTTATCGATCCAAACGAAATGGAAAACAGTAAAAAAAGTTCAGACCGAAAGAGCTCCATTGAGTAAATATTCCGTACCCAAAGACAAACCTATGAATTTTTGACCAATGAAACTTCTAAATAATTTTTTTGTATTGTGACTTAGTATAGTAAGGCAAAACGACTGCAAATTGAATATTTTTGAGCGCAATCACTTATGGCTTGTCTCCATTGCACGAATTCGTACGGCGAATCTGTTCGCAAAGTGCACAAACAAAATTATTGCAAGCAAAAGCAAACCACGCGCACGTTGAGAACACGATTCGCCGTGCGCGTCAGACGCATGTTATATTATTTGCATCTTATATTAATTTAATTTTTAGCACATCTCAGCTTCTTTTTGGCAATAATAATGTAGTCCTTACATTTTTCTTATTCATAATCATAAATATATTACATTTTAATATTGTAAGCCTATAAATGAATAGAAATGTTTGGCAAATGACAGTTGTCATTTGTTTTTAATGTCAAACCATGCCTTAAATATTTTAAAGGTCAAACAATGATAGGCGGTTTTTTGTAATTTTTTCCATTTATTTCTACAATCTAACTATATTTCTATGAATCAAAACATTCTAGTTAGTCTGAAAAATTCATATGGTTGGCATTTTGTACGGAATATTTACTCAATGGAGCGCTTTTTTTTACTGTTTTCCTATTTGTTTTGAATTTTGGAAATAGGCTCATCTTACTCTCAAGTTCAAAAGTGAAAACAATTTAGACTCCTTTGCACTACCCGGGGAGATGCCATTTCTTTTCAGTGGTGTAATAACGTTCGGTGTGGATAAAAAACTAATTATAAGAGAAAAATGTTTAATAATGTTTTTCAAAAAAGAAAATACTTTTCAAGTTACTGACTACTGAAAATTTGTTTCTTTCTCGCGTTTTTCATCGTTTTTTGCTAATATCTTCAAAAATATACATTTTAACGAAAATCATGTAATGAACAAAATTATATCAATAAAAATCTTAATAAATCGCTATTTTACAGTGTTCTAGGAACAATATTAAGTTAATTATGAAATTGGTTTTTATAGTTCTCAAAATAAGCTTTGAAAGAAGTACTTCTGCGTGTAAATTGAGTGAGCTATCATGCAATTAAAAGACGCATACAATGTTTTTTTTTTCATTTAAATCAAATAGTTTATGAGTGCCATTTCCACCAAAATTAAAAATAATCGTTTTCCATCTAGAATTAACTTGGTTTGAGAGATCTTGATGGATTCTAGAAAATACCATAACATTAGTACAAACGATTTTCAAAAAACTCAAGATTTCATAAAAAAATCCATTTAAAAAAAAACAATTTCTCATTATAATATCTCTGAAAGAATACGTATAAAAGTATATCTTGACAAGAGCCTGAAATAATATCTATTATTATTGATTACGGCTTGCTTATGAATAAATAAATAAATAAATAAATAAAATAAATATATATATGAAAATTCAAGGTATTTTTCAGACTAATTATTGCTTTTTATTATTTTTTTGTTACACAAATATTGATAGAGTTCTAATTGTTTAAAGAGTGCGCGGCTGTCCAACCGGAGTGTCTTTCGAGCCCTTTAACCCTTCGCCGTTTCAAAATAAGAGAAGTTACGGTAAAATTTATGATAGCGAAAGTTGTAGCTCATTTAATCACCTTTAAAATAGTATATTACAAGTTATGATAAAATCAGAATTAAAAGAGTTATAATCCAATTAAAGCGGGGGGTGGTGACGAAATGCAAATTGTTTTCACTTCTGAACTTAAGATTAAGATTAGCTGGGCATACATTTTTTTCCTCTCCATTTACTGCAATAATTTTGTTGATAGTAGGTTGAATAGAGCACATGTGAACAAAATTTGACAAATTAATTCACTTCAAATATGAACTTAAGTAATAATGTTTATTG